TTTTGTAAATGATTTTCATCCATTCTTTCATGTAATTAAGATGACTTAGGAATAATTTTTTGTATTAGATTGGCTCTTTCTATTCATTTAGAATTTATAATATTTAGTGCATCTATTTATTTAATGACACATAAAAATTATATAAAAATTGTCCCTATATCACTATCCTTCTTTTATTCCTTTGAAGGATGGGATGGAATCTGCTTATTCCAACTAGTATCTGTTCTTTTTTTGGCTATAATGGGCATTTAACTATTTATGATATCTTGAATTATTCCTCTTCAACTTTTCCTTGTTTTGTTTATGAGAGTTATAGTTTAAATTTTGAAGGGCTTAATCTGATGAGATGGGGACCATTTTATTTACCGAAGCAGGCAAAATCTCATGGCTTTAAAATCTATTACATATTTTTTAGTTACAGTCCATGTCTCCAGATTAGTTTTTGTGCAATTTAAAACTATTTCCTCTTCAATTGATTTTAAAGATGTATATCCATATCAATCTAACTAATTCCTTTTGGTATTAGCCCTAACACTTAAACCTGAACCCTACCTTATAAAACAACAATCCAACCCCTGGAGTTAGAATCTATTACATTTATTGAAATAGCTTTATTAATTCTTTTGGAATATATCTTAAGGAAAATGATTTTCAAAGAACGCCCCTATCAAATGCTCAGATTATGACTTTGTGTACTTCTCCCTGCCAATTTAACTGACTCGTTAGTTTTTATTTGCCTGAAAGTTCCAACCATGATTTGAATTCTTGTTACCATCTGTTGTCTCCTACAATTACTAGAATTCTTATTTACATTTGATTTCATTTCCTGTAAATCTTTGAAGATTTTGTCTCTGCAACTTTTTATCGATCAAGTAAGTTGCTTCAAGCTGTGATGCATTCTCTCTTTTTTCTTTTTTTTTTCTTTTTTTTTTTGTTTTTGTTTTTTTATTGATCCCTCGATATTCAAAAACCACATTAAATTTGAATTAATATTGAGTCAAATCATGTTGGACCCCACAAAGAAAAGCTCTCCTAATACATGTCTCTCTTTTTATAAGATTCGAACTTAAATATCTTGTTTAGGGGAACCGAGCTCCCAGTGATGCATTCTCTTGATTAGTACATTGGGAGTAATAGTTCTAGGGATTGGACATTAATATATTTTCTAGTTAAACCTTGTGTTTACTTCTGTTATGGTATGTATTTGCCTGTTTTGCTTAATTAATTTAATCTTATAGTAACTCTGCCCACACCTTGTAACAGCTGATGTACTAAATAGCTTGAGGACCAACTTAAATGATCCTAACAATGTCCTGCAGAGCTGGGATCCTACCCATGTCAACCCGTGCGCATGGTATCATGTTACATGTGACAATCATAGTAGTGTAACTCGAGTGTGAGTTTTTGTCTCTTAGTTGTCCTCTGAGTGTTTGGTTACCACTCAACATCTTAAGTTATTTATTTATATTTATATTTATTTAATATTGAATTTGCATTGTGTTCTCTGCATGATGGCTGTTTTGTGGTTTTTCAGTCATCTTGTAGGTGCATCTTATCTGGGCAACTAGTTTCACAGCTGGGACAGCTTAAGAATTTGCAGTTCTTGTAAGTCGTGCCTTGCCCTGAAATACTGTGATTGTCATTTATTTGGTGTGTGTGTGTCGCTCTCTCTATCTCTCTATGTGTGTGCATGCCTGCATGCCAAAAGAAAATCCCGTGTTTTTGTGCTGTCTAATGCAAAAATAGCACTTTTCATGTTAGGTTTTAAACACGCAGAACTTATGTACCAAACCAGTGAGGAATCCAAAAATTTTAGACTTTTGTTTAAGGATCCAAGCCAATTGCTGCTTTAAGCGTCTGGAAGAATATCTAATCAGGAACTTGTTCGTGTAATTTGTGGCTAGGTTACATTTGCCACCTCTTGATTGAAGTGTCAATCTTGATTAAACTTGACTGGTTTCTAAGTGTAACTCAACTGTGATCATGTTCCTTTTATGGTGTGAAAATGGTCAAATATTGAGAAAATTAAGAATATCTGTATATAGAAACTGGGGATTTATATGTAATAATCAAGTGCTCGTGGTTGTGGAAACATGAAAATGATCCAAACGGCAGGATTCATTGGTTAATGTAGAGGATTGTGCTCATATGTTCTATGGAGCTCAGTTGCATATAGATTATGAGATATTCAACTGCAGGTGTTTTTCTCTTTAACATGATGAGTTGCATTCTTAGTTCTTATCTTTCAAATTACGGGTTCTGAAAGCAGTTCGTTCAAGTTCTTTTAACTTTTGCATCAGTATTCATCCAAGTAATTCGAATTCCAGTCTTATGAGCTTTCTTTGACAGATAACACATTATTAGTTTTCTTTGACATTTTGAGCTTCGATGTTGATGACAGGGAACTCTACAGTAACAATATAAGTGGACCAATTCCTAGTGAACTCGGAAATTTGACAAACTTGGTCAGCTTGGATCTTTATTTGAATAGTTTTACAGGTCCTATTCCAGAGTCACTGGGGAAGCTGTCTAAGTTGCGGTTCCTGTAAGTATTTTTATCTTAATTATTGTGTGCTTGCCTGGATATGCTTAGAATCTTGTGCTTGATGCAGATAATAAAATATCCATGTTCCAAAGCAAATTGAAGGGAACTTAGAGAACCGAAGGAGCTTTAAGTTCAACCTTTTAATGCATTTTGCACTGTTACATTTCTTAGGCACTCATTCTCACAGACACACCCAAAAACACATTGATTGGTTTAGTTCTTATCTTGTCTCGTTGTCACAATGTTTGTGCAAGGATAGCCAGCTTAACAACAACAACTTGACAGGTCCCATTCCAATGTCATTGACCAATATCTTCTCGCTTCAAGTATTGTGAGTACAAACTATAAATTGGACTTATTGATTATCTCTTTCCTCCTCACCAACTCTCCCTTACCGTTTCTTTATATGACATTATTCTGATTGCAATACCCTCGCGCTATAAATGGCATCATGATATGCAGGAATCTGTCTAATAATCGTCTTTCTGGAGTGGTTCCAGACAATGGCTCCTTTTTACTGTTCACACCCATCAGGTTATTTCTTGTGATTTGAATGCTTCATATCTTGAATGACTTATTTGCATGTCATTCTTATGGTTCATTATTTCTTATGCAGTTTTGCTAATAACTTGGACCTATATAGCCCTGTTACTGGGCGCCCTTGCCCTTCAGGTAATCTCCCAAATTTCACAACGTTGAACTCAAGTGTTAAATGCTTGTATCATTTCTCTGCTCCAAGTAGTATCCATCATCCAACATAATTTGTCAAATGACTCGCACCTTTTCCCATTATTCGATCTTAATAATTTTTATCTGTGGAGGACATAGTATTCAAAGTTTTGCTTAATAATTTTTCCATCATATCAAATTTAGGTGACGGTAGTGCCATTGGTGCAATTGCTAGAGCAATCGCTGGTAGTGCTGCCTTGCTTTTTATTGTCCTAGCAATTGAATTTGCATGGTGGTTTTGGAGGAAACCTCAAGAATTTTTCTATGATGTATCTGGTTAGTTTACTTTGGAAATTCACTGTATTCAAGTTCAATTAAAACATGGAAACTAACTACCTTCATCATACATTTCCACCTCTATGCAGATGAAGGGTATCCAGAAGTCCATCTGGGGGAGCTTAAAAGGTTTTCGCTGAAAGAATTACAAGCTGCCACAGATAATTTTCGCAATAAAAATATTCTGGGTAGAGGTGGATTTGGAAAAGTTTACAAAGGATGCTTAGCAGATGGTTCACTTGTGGCTGTAAAAAGACTAAAAGAAGCACGTACACCTGGTGGTGAGCTGCAGTTTCAAACAGAAGTGGATATGATCGGCATGGCTGTGCGCCGGAATCTCTTAAGGCTGCGTGGTTTTTGTATAACTCCAACAGAACGATTACTTGTATACCCCTATATGGCTAATGGAAGTGTTGCTTCTTGTTTAAGAGGTAAATCATGTTAGCATCATACTTCTATGAATGATTTGTTATCACTTGTTTGTTGAATTATTTTTTGTAACCAACTTTCTAGTCATAAACCTTCTCATCTAATGACGTTTTGATAAAAACATTCCTGTAGAGCGTCCTCCAGCACAACCTCGTCTTGATTGGCCAACTAGGAAACAAATTGCATCGGGATCTGCCAGGGGTCTATCATACTTGCATGATCATTGTAACCCGAAGATCATTCATCGTGATGTGAAAGCTGCAAATATTTTGTTGGATGAGGAGTTTGAAGCTGTTGTTGGGGACTTTGGGTTGGCTAAACTAATGGACTACAAGGATACCCATGTAACTACTGCTATACGTGGCACAATGGGACATATTGCTCCAGATTACTTCTCTACTGGGAAATGTTCGGTGAAAACTGATGTTTTTGGATATGGGATTATGCTTCTAGAACTAATAAGTGGGCAGCAGGCCTCTGATCTTGCTCAGCTTGCGTGTGACGATGATGTCGTGTTGCTTGATTGGGTATGTGTGCTTCTGATTCTTTCTTTTCTCTTATCATTATGATAGTGGATTTGTTTCTCTGCTCTCCCTTGTGATATTGTGCTCGATGTAGATGTTATTCTTTACGTTGAAACATGTTCTAGTTGGCCCATAGGGTAAAGTTGGGTGGGGCAATCTCAGTTTCGTAGAATATTTGTTTTGCAAAATAGGAATAAGAGACTTGCCAAGCTTGCTTTGTTTGTACACTTGTACCATGAATCTTATGAAAAAAAAAAATGAGTTACAAATAGGAAGTAAAGATGGTAAAAAAATGTGTCGTTTGATAGCTCAAAAATGTATTTTTGCTACCAGATGATTGAATAGGATTTCGAGTAGTTGAGTTTATAGCGTGAAAAGGTATCTTGAGAACAAACAGGTTGGTTTCCTTTTGCACCTTGTGCTTCCAATTTTTGAACAACTCATGCAACTGACATTTTCACAGGTAAAAGAACTTCTTAAGGAGAAGAAGTTGGAAATGTTGGTAGACCCTAATCTCCAAAACAAATATGTAGAATCTGAGGTTGAGCAGCTAATCCAGGTTGCTCTACTATGCACGCAAGGCTCTCCCAAGGGCCGACCTAAGATGTCAGAAGTAGAGAGAATGCTTGAAGGAGATGGTTTCGCGGAGAGGTGGGATGAGTGGCAAAAGGTGGAAATTCTCCAACTTGACCCTCACACTAATTCTGACTGGATCGTTGTTGACTCAACAGAAAATCTACATGCAGTTGAGTTATCCGGTCTGCGGTGATCATGGCACAGTAACAATAAAGAAAGGAAAGTTACTATTTTTTTTTTAGGTTATGTAGTGACTATGTATTGTTTTACATCTAAGCCCAGTCCGCATTATATTCTTTACATATGTGCATATGAGTCATCGTTATTGAGGTCCCAATTTGTATCTTCTGCTGCAATTTGACAGTGCCAATATATATGTTCATGTATATTTACAGCTGGGGCATGCAGCCTAATATATTAGCATCTCGTGTTTGAACTTGGTTCTCTTATACATCTTTTTTCTTTTGGGCATAAAAACACCTGCAAAGCTTGCAATGCTTGCCCTGTTTTATTTAATCAGAGCTA